GAGAACTTGTTTTTGTAGAGCTTGGGATTTGCAGGGATGGCCTTGTGTTCATGCTATTGCAGCCATAAATTATAAAGGGGGTCTCAATGTCATGGATTTTGTGGATGACTACTATTTGAAAATAACTTACTTGAAGACATATGAGAATCTCATACTGCCTATGAATGGGATAGATATGTGGGATAGGAGTGACTTTCCTCCATGTCTTCCTCCTTCTTACTCTTAACAGCCTGGAAGGCCAAGAAAATGTAGAAACAAAGAGCATGAAGAGTACAAGGGCAAGATGAAGATGAGAGCATCAAACAACCAATCTGAAACTACATTGTCTCGCATTCCCAACACACAGGACTCTCTCAAATGTGGCCAATGTGGTAAAAAATGGCACAATAAAAGGACTTGTCATAGGAATCTTCCCCCAAAAGCCAAACCTGCAACTAAGAGGAAGTGGGGTACTGAAAATACCCAGGTATAGCAACTCAATCTTGTTCAATTCTATCCCTTAATAACCTTAAGCTTTTGTTGCAAACTCATGTAGTTTTTATGTTGTAGACCACTCCATCTGACACATCCACTCTAGCTGGTGGTCCAAGCACCCTAAAGCAAACATCCAAGCCTCCAAGGCATGTGCAAAAAGGGAAGCCAAAACCAAGTAAGAAAGGACATGCCACTTCTGCAGCACAACCAGCCTTCCCTTCATGTCCTCATGCATCAACTTCTATTTCAGCTGCAGGATCAAATGTTGTGCATTGAAGCTGACTGAAAGAGGTATTTGATGATTTTGGTTTGATTTGTTAGACTGGCAGTTTGTGATTAGGAGGTTTTTGTTTTTTATAAATAGGTTTTTTATTTTGGTTTGATTTGTTAGACTGTCAGTTCTTGTATAACTTAAGTGCTGACTTTTTTTTATGGATGTAATGGCATTCACATAAGTCTCAACCACTGTGAATGCAAATACATCCATTGAAGATGATGTTTTGGAATGAATTTGAATGGACATGAAATATGTACGATATGCAATGTTATTATCTGGCTATTTTGAGCCCATTTTGAATGCAGAATTTTCTGAGTTTTACAGCCACTTTGCTTCATTATTTTGGTCATTCTAGTAGGCTGTTCCAGGTGCATCCATTTTTGTTTGTATGTACATGAATTGAATTATTTTTGCCATTCCATTTTTCTGTTCCAGGTGCATCCATTTTTGTACAATTGGCATGAATAGAAAAAAATTTTACCTTCACACATTTTCTACAATTGGCTTTCCCTGCTACATTGTTTTTGCCATTCCATTTTCTACAAATTTTGCCATTCCATTCACTTCATCAACTTACAAAAAGTCAGCAATTAAGCCCTTAAGCCTAACCCTATAACCCTATAACCCTAAACCCTTACATAACAATTAAACCATTACAAAATGTTACTAACAACCCAACACTTACTAAATCACAGAAAATACCCTAACCAACCCACAAGCAATACATTCATTCAATGGCAGAAGCTAATTCCAAGCTCCTCTTTTTGTTCACTTCACATCCAGACATCCCTCCCAAAATGATGCTTGCAAATAGAACCCACGAAGCCACCAACAACACCTAAACGACCTTTTCTCTTTGTCTTGCCTTTGCCACTGACTTCTCCAGCTTATTCCGCGATTTTAGAAGCCCAGGAATCACTGCTTTCGACCGTTCACACATGGCCGGATCAAACCATGCCCAGAATTGACAGCCCTTAAAACCCTTCTTAGTCTTACGTACCTTTGCTGCACACGTGGAAAATCGCCTCCCAGGATTCGAATCTGTCCAAGAGGTTCGAATTGTAGCAGCATTTCCGCACCAACACATCAACGCCTCTTCATTCATTTTGCCCAGCCAATCGGATCCTCTTCGTCAGTTTCCCTCCACTTTGTTCCTCGCTCCTTTGCTCCCGAAAACACGAATCCAATCAATCTGATTTTGTTCAATTTTTCAAAACCTGGTAATCGAAGCCTTTGAACGCGTGTTTGTTTGTTTTTTTTTTTTTCCAAAATTGCCCATCGTCTCGTCTCTTTCTAATTGCTGTTTGGTTATGAGGTGGGTCCCACGATTGCCACGTCAGCATTTAACGGCTGACTTTGACGGTCAATGTAACGGCTAGTGTCAATTGGTAATATTTCGAAATGTTGGGTACGAAATTGATGAAAATGAAACCTTAGGGCCCATTTCGATACAGACACTAAACCTCCAGGGACTAAAGTGTAGTTAATCCTATATAATTTGGTCCAGTTATAATTGATTTGAACTACTCCAGATAAAGATGGGAGTGACTCAGTTTGGATTAATCTCTACTACTCCAAATAGATATCGATTTCAAATGCAGCTAGCTCTTAAAACTTTTCTGACATCCCTTTTGTTTGTGGGCCAACTAATAAAAATGTTAAGGCCCGAAAACAAATTGATGGGTTGACAAAACAAATTACTCATTAACTTTCAAGAGCCCAAAATATTTTATGGGTGGTCCAAATAAATTATGTGGTTAATGGATTAATTTGTAAATCCTCAAAACCATATGTGAGTAAATCAATGGGCTCATTAAAATGCCTTTTAATTTTCTTTGGACATTAACAATAAAAAAATGGTCCAAAACCATTCCAAATTTTCTCATGGGTCATCTACCCTGCAAATTTCAATGAGATCAAATTCAAAGCTCTCAAACATACAAATTCTTTCAAGGGGTCATTTATTCTTTGAAAGTCCAACCAAATTTTCAAGGAATTACGTCCGGTTTGATTCCACCAAGGATACGTAGGCAATTTGGAAACTCAATCCAAATACAACCGCAAGCCCAAACAGAATCCCTAGTGTCCTTAACCAAATTCACCCCAAACACTTTTCCGACCACAAAATCAAATTGAATCCCTGGTCCAACCACATTCATTCAAATTCTATAAAATATTTATCATACCACAAATTCTTTCAAGGGGTCATTCATTCCTTGAAAGTCCAATCAAATTATTTGAGAACTATAAAAGGCTTGATCCCCAAAATGGGGTATGTAGGCAGTCTAAAGTTCCCTGGATGCAGCCGCAACATCAAATCAAATTCCATTATTTATTTCATTCTTCATATTGGAATCAAAGGGTCTTTCTCTTTCCAAAGAGATTATAATTAAGAGATATTTTTATCTTGAATGGGTCGTACCCAATTAAAAATTAAAAAAACTCTTATTTGTAAATAAGAGTGAGATTATGTTGGGTGAATTTTTAATTTCCTTATTACATTTTTTATCTAACAATTCATAATATGAACGTCTGAAGGATGTGCTATGCTTCGTATTAGTTTTCTAATTTTTGTTTGGACATCTTATTTGAACAGGCGTAATGTGCCCATTTCGATGTATAAAGACCAACATATTTTGCAAAAGAAGAACAATATAATCTTTAGTTTGGAAAAATTACATTTTTGTAGATGTGACGTAGTGTTCTCCTTTTCTTTTTGTTATGTTATTTGGCCGAGGTTACATTTTGTACAAGGGAATAATTATTTTTCCTTTTTGTTGCACTATTTGGCCAAAAGACTACTTTTATACATGAGATTAAGTTTGTGCTCTTCCTTGATATGTTATTTGAAGAAGGATTAGTCAATTATAAATCCATTCATGCAAGTTACCCATGTTACACTTGATCAAAGAAATTTAACATATTTCTTCTTTGAGTTGTTGATATCAGGCAACAACAAAAAAAACTTCTTCTTTGAGTTGTTAATATCAAAAACAAAATTGTACAGCAAACTAAATTTTATTAGCATTACTTCATTATTTAAAAAAATGTCATTAGTTTGTAGCAATAAAATAAATCACTTCGTTAAAAAGATAAAATATATAATAATAAAAAATCTATGGATAGAAGAGAGGAAGGAGAGGGATTGAACAGAGACATGAACGATTTTGAACAAATGGAAGGTTTTTGCATGAGAGACACAAGAGGAATGGCAAAAAAAGAAAAGAATGTAAAACATTAGGACCTGTTTGGTATTCAACTTGAATCCAACTTTTTAAACTCAAAAACAGAATTTGAGTCCAAAACAAAGAAAACCTGTTTTTTAGCTATATTTTTGAAAACTCAAACTCAAGAATAACTAAAAAATACCCCCATTATTAAAAGGGAGTTTCACTAAAACACCCAAAATGGGAGTTGAAATTATACAAAAACCCAAGCACTATTTAAACATATAAACACACCCAAAACCCATCATTACACACACTCAAAACTCATTTATAAATACACCCAAAAAGTTGACTTTGGGGTTGATTTTGGGTGTGTTTCTATGTTTAAATAGTGTTTGGGTTTTTTTATAAATACATGTTTAGGATTGGGTTTATTTATAAATTTGTATTATTAAAAACGAAAAATATCTGTTTTTTCAATTTTTTTCTAACAACCCACAGGTTCTCAAAATTTTAAGATTTGAAAATAATTCTCAAGTTGCATACTAAACAAGTTTTTGAATCTTAAAAAATAGATTTAAGAACTCATTTTTAAGAAAAATCAAAGTTTCTGAGTTCCCTATTTAAATAGAATACCAAACGCCCCCTTAACTTTGGAAAAGAAAAAAAAAATTAATTGGTTAGTAAAAGGGCTGGCACAGATGTAGAGATGGTATGAAGAGAAATTTTACTTCTTGGTTGCTTTTATTGATTAAAGTATATTATTAAAAGTTTTTAAAGAAGATTGGCATATGGCAGTATCTTATTGACTTGGGATAATGAGGTGGAAAACTGACTTGGCATCCCCTTGTTAGGAAAGTTTTTCTCCAATTTTAGAGGCTGTCACTTGAATGCTTAGTCAAAGGTGGGGCCAAAAGCCGCCTATTTCCCAAAAAATAAAAGTCGAAGTTGGTCGACATTTACCAAATTGCGAGTATTAACAATTTATGGTCCTTTCGAGAACATCCGATAAAATTGGAACAAGTATTCTAACGACAGCCATGTCTTTTTCATATCCCCAATCACCGTGCACTGGTAGTTTCTCCAACTGTCCTCCTGATTTCTTCACATGTCTCCTCAAATTTTCTCGGAAAATTGGAGAAGGCCGATAACAATTCTCATCTCTGGCTTGAGTTTCGTTGTCTTCCTCATCCTTGACTTTCTTGACAACTTCCTCTGCATCCTGTATAGATATATTGATGAGCTCTTTGAAGGGCAGGCCTCCTCTTGTTACTGTGCAAGCAAGGAAGGGCAGGTGAGGAATGTGGGTGGTCATGGAGAAGGTGAGCTTTCAGAGAGTCTATATCAGAGGAAAAATGCTTTCAGGGAAATGGGTTTTCTTGGATTTGCCAAAAAGTCCAGGAAAATTGGTGGTGGAGCAGTTGCCAATAGGTGGTCTGATTGTGGATGTGAGTCTTGTCTTTCATGGATGAATGATTGTGATCAGAAGCTTCACGTTGTTGTTAGGGAGCCCTCGCAAGGTATTTTGAAAATGCATCCCATTTACATTCTAATTGTAGATTTGGGTGGTTTTAGACTTTCATTTAGTTGCTGAGAGAGTACGGAGGACAAGAAATATTGACCTTGCGTTTTCATTTGTCTGATTTAGGTTGTTTGTTGCTATCTAATGTGGCATAAGATAATCACTGATATTGTTGCCATTTCATATTTGACAGCCATCACTGATGATCAGGATTGCAGAGGAAAGCCAGTCGAGAATGTGATATTCTTGCATGGGTTTCTTTGTTCTTCCTCATTTTGGACAGAAACAGTGTTTCCAAATCTTTCTGGACGTGTGAACCGTAATTATAGATTGTTTGCTATCGACCTCTTGGGATTTGGAAGAAGCCCAAAGCCAAGGGACTGTATGTATACTTTGAAGGATCATTTGGAAATGATTGAGAAGTCTGTGATCTGTCCATTTCGGTTGGATTCTTTCCACTTGGTTGCACACTCCATGGGTTGTTTGATAGCAATTGCATTAGCTGCTAAGCACTCGAAATTAATAAAATCAATCACTCTTGTAGCACCTGTAAGTTCATGAGCTTATATATTTGCTGTAGACATCTATACATTTCCTCTGTTGTCTTTGTTCCATATTCTGAATAAGTGGTTTTATTTTATCATTTGTAGCCTTACATCCCTTCTGAAGATGGAGATAGCTTAAGAGTACTTGAAAAACTTGCCGGAAGGAAACTATGGCCACCGTTCCTGTTTGGAACATCATTTATGTCGTGGTACGAACACCTAGGTCGATGTTTCTGCTTTCTTGTATGCCGGAATCACAGGATGTGGGAGAGGATTGTGAAGCTACTCACTCGGAGAAGGTAACTAAATATTTATATCATGATTTACTTGAAAGAAGAAAATGTAGCAAAACAAACAAATTGTTTAGTTCCTTCCATTTCAAACGACATTTCATGATAACTCTGTCTTATGTTTCCTTCTTAGGGATCTTCATTTTATGATTATGGACTTGACTAGACATACCCATCACTCAGCTTGGCACACCATGCACAATGTGATATGTGGAGGAGCAAAGTTAATGGATGGTTACTTGCAACTTTTGAGCAAAGCTGGGGTTAAAGTTGTTGTTATCCATGGTGATAAAGACAATGTTGTCCCTCTGGAGTGCAGCAACAACATTCAAATGATAGTTCCTAATGCAGAGGTTACCATCATTAAAAATGCAGATCACAGTTCTGTGCTGCTTGGTAGAGAGAGAGATTTTACGCGGCGTCTAGAGCGTATTTGGGAATCGATCGCTTGCTGATACAGCTAGAATGGAACAGATGTTGTCTCTACAATAACACAATGTGTAGATTTTTTTTGCCAGAACATTCTTTTTGTTGAGCCAAAAATGATAAGTGGGGAACATGAATTAGAATTAGGTTCCTCTGAATTGACAAAAAAAAAAATAGAACTAGCCTACACCCTCCACCAGTCGCTGCCAGACCCAAAGCTCAACCCAAAAGGAGGCAAAGACTGTTGGAATAAGTTCGATGTGTTCCTCAATGTTCTTTGTATTTATTGCACTTGGTAGGTTGTATTGCTGGTAACTTTGGAATCCATGGAGGTTGTGGGCCAAAGGTGTTGGCGGTTCAGTTGTATCTATCAAATTAAACCACATCAATTAGCAGCTAAAGTGCCTCAGTTACACCAATTAAATTATATGTGTTTTTATTCCTTTTATTATTTATTAATGAGAAAAAAACAAGAACAAAACAAAAAAGCGGTATGGGAATTTGTGATATAAGAAAATGTGATAAAATTTGTGGGAATTATTGAATTTTTATTGAAAATTGATGGCTGTATTTTCTTCCCTTTGAGTACTTTTTTCTGGTCTGATCCTTTTGATTTGAGTACTTATGAATAAGAAAAATAATTACAAGAACATTATTATCATTATTATTATTATTATTATTATTTTTACTAGCCCCTTGGCACATGCTTACGCATGTGCCAATTGTTTTTTTTTTTTTATTTTTTTAATTTTTTTTAGAATTAAGAAAAGATAACATGGGTAGTTATGTTCCATAAAAGTATGACCTATTATCTGATTTTGTTTTTAATTTTAATTTTTTAATATGAAAAAAATGTGAATTTACCATATTATCCTCATTTAATTAATAATTTCAATTTTTAATGTTTGAATTAACCAAGAACATTTTCTGGTATTTTGAATGTCTTACCATTTTCTGCCTTTTACTTTATCGGATGGGTAATGCTAGGGAGACCATCTATTTATACCATATTTGTGTACCAACTGATGTGGCTGTTGAGTTGGCTATGCTACATCATTAAGTAAGTTTTTAATATTTTTAATATTTTAATATTTTTTTTTACTTTTCACTTTACATACTCATTTAAATCATATTAAAATCATTAAAAAAAATTAAATAACATCTCCGCTCTCTTCTCCTACCTCCTACCCAGCCAACCCTCTCTTCCTCTTTCCTCAACCTCACCTTTCAGCCACCCCTCTCCCGTTGCCCATCCTTCCCTCAGCCATACTCTTGTACATGTACCTACCCTCAACCATACACCAAATTTCCCAAACATCGAAAAGTGAATCTCACCTACAGGTATAGGGTCGAAATCTTCTGAACAATCACAAGGACACTGAGGGCAGGAACCTTTCTCCTTCAAACTCCAGTGCAAAGATGGACATATACCCAAACCAAACACACCGCCACTAAACAAAAACTAGCCTCACAGCAAAAAAGGATAAAACACAACTTCGGTTTGTTTGTTTCCAAATTTGCAGAATGTCCAAGATCAGACAGGTCCTGGGTTACAAACTCATAATATCAATAAAACTCAAAACTTGACTGCACTTGAATGATTTCTAGAAATGTGTGAAATAATGGCAAAAATAAATTAACAATATCCAATCAAAAATGCCCATTTCAAGATTTGGTACCTGCAATGAGAATCTGACGAACTCAATGACTGGTGTATGGCTGAGGGAAGGATGGGCGACGGGAGAGGGGTGGCTGAAAGGTGGGGTTGAGTAGGGAGGGAGGGTTGGCTGGGTAGGAGGTAGGAGAAGAGAGGAGATTTTAATATGATTTAAATGAGTTTGTAAATTGAAAGGTAAAAAATAATAAAAAATTAAAAACTTATTTAATGATGTGGTATCGACAACTCAACAACCACATCAGTTGGTACACAAATATGGTACATATAGATGGTCTCCCTAGCATTACCCTATCGGATAGTTGAAATCTTGTTTAAATACGTGATACACTACCTAATTTTTTTCTTTTGTCAAAAATAGAAAAGTGGATGAGAATTTACTTGCACACCCGCTTAGCAGTTTTGAACCTAAGACCTTAATCTTAGACCAAACATACTTTTTCATTATGGTATAACCCACTAACACAACCCATTTAAACATGGTTCATTCAAATTTCGTAATATATTCATGTTATTTCATTTGCTGTTTCTCATTATTTTACTTCCATGATGCGATGGGTTGTGTTGATACTTACTCGTAGGCACAACCATAATAAATACATGAACTGCAACTTCAACTTGTATTGTATTGTAGTAGACATGTTTTAAGCATGTGCTCTCTCAAGACAAGAAAAATCATGCTTTACTCGTCATCTCAATCTTTCTTTGTTATGGATAACATGTTTTTGTGTTTGTCACAACACCCATATTGTAGTAGACATGATTTAAGCATGTTTTCTCTCCACAAAAATAAAGCATGTTTATTTGTGGTTTTTTTATTATCAAAAATAGTTTTGTTTTTTAAGCTAGCAAGTCATTGTTTTTAAATTTTTTGTAAACCCATAAATTGAAAACAAAATGACAGGAAAGCAAGGGGCGAGGTCCATGTTCGATTTCCCCATCTCCAATATCACTTATATTTTGAAAAAAACATAACATGATAAAAAAGGCTTTTATTTTTTAAATAAAAACTAATATGTATGTGTCTCCCTCCAATGAATACTCTCTCTTTTCTTAAAAAAAAAACATAACATGATAAAAGAAAGGCTTTTATTCTATGCTGTTACTTGTTTTTTAGTACTATGCATTGCTTTTTTATTTTTATACTTTGGTGATTGATTTGCTATATTTAGTCTTCTGCGTATCAAAGCCAAATTCGAAATTAACAATTCATGTCATTCGTTATTTGCTTAATTGGTAATTAATATAAAAGTGGAAAGTTTGTTGGGTTAATTAATAGAATAATAGTAAATCAGGAAAAAATTTATTAAATCAGTCTTTCTCTCTCATAATAATGTCATCAAATAAATAAAAAATAAAGAGTTAACTATAGTTAAATTCCTGTACATTTGTCATCTTTTAAAAAAAGTGGTGAGTGCACGGAGTTAAAATGGTGAGCAAAAATACTCCCATAATGACGTTATGTTTATACAATTCCAATATTAAAGACTGGGATGTTAGGAGTCACAATCTAAATTGAGAGTTTTTATTTTATCTTTATTATTTTCTATGGGCGTCGCCTGGCAGTCAGTCAGCATTGGTTGGCATACCAGATCCACTCTTTGGTCATCAGCCCATCGATTTCACCTACCACCTCTCCAGACTCTTTACTGTTGAGTTGAGTGTACCAGACCAACTAACCAGACCCATTTCCAAATCCTATTATATAAACAAGATAACCAAGCACACACCTAGTTTTGTTCTCCTCCTACCCATTATCCCATTTTTTGTTTTTCAGTAAATAGCTTTTGATAAAAACAAGAACACCCATGGATTTCATTGAATCACTAAATCCCCAGATCCTTCTGGGTGCAACTGTAGCTATTGTTGTCATTGTGGCTGTTGCTTATCTCTTCACCTCCAAGAAGGCCAAAGGTTTGACCTCTCAGTTGCTTTTTTTTTTTGGTTGTGATTAGTTGGTTTTCAATCCGTAATGGTTTTATACAACTTCTGTAACAATTATGGTTGTTCACTGTAGTGTTTGATGTTGGGTTATGAACATCTTTGCTGTTTCTGTTTTTTCAGTGTTTTTTGTCTGGAGGAGTAGAAAACTTTGGAGTATTTTGTGATGTACATTTTCTTTGTGATAAATGATCAATTGGGTAATAACATTCATGTTGCAATTTGAAGTTGATGATTGATTTATGTGGATCAATTTGAAGTGGATGATTGGTTTCTATTGCAATATTCAGTTTCTTATTTTTCCTTTCTTCATCCTTTTCTTCATATATGAATCAAACATCGAATAACTGTACACTTTTAAATATGTTTAAAGCGTTTTAAAATGGCAATCCTCAATTCTATTTTATTTTCTTTAAAAAGATCCTAGCTTTGAGCTACTTTTATTCTGTAATCTTTTTAATTTCTTTTCTAATTATATGTTGGGTATATCCTTCCTATTGACATTTTAATTTCATGTGTATGATTGAGTTTTTAGATTATCTGGTAGCTTAATTTTTTGGTTCAGTAATATTCCAATGGTTTGTTGCTGTATTACTCTTGCACATCTTGAAAGTTGGTCATTTTAATCCTACTGTGATCTCTATGCATATTTGTATATGTACACTCAATAATCATTAATAATTTTTAGTTTTTTCCCATTATTTTTTTTCCACTTTCCATTATGGTGTTTTTCCTTTCCATCATCATTATGGCGATTTTGTCATGAAAAAGAGTACAAACACAGTTCTGAGATGAAATTATCTAATGAGATATGTTCTAATCGCTTAATTGCTTGCAAAGGCAATGTGATTGAGCCAGATGTAAATATTGAATTAGAGGAATAGATCCAGGTTTCTGGGTAAGCTTGAACTGTGCAAGATGTCTATAGATTTTTTGAAAGCTTGAGGTCAGGCCAAATTTGGACCCATGCTATATCCACAAAGCTTGTCTCTGGCTTCTTTGAACTTCCCTTTTACCTATTCTGGATTTTTCAGAAAATATCTTATTGTTATACCGCTGACCTGTTCTTCTTGTTTAACCCGTTCTTCATGGCCTAGAAACTAAGTATTGAGAGATTTCTATCCTTTAAACTCTTTTGTACAAGTTGAAGATTTAACCATTAAGTAGTATATGCAATCTATGAAAAATCCATATTCGTGTAAATATTAATAACCATTTCAATTTCATTTCTTCATTTCTTCTTGTTTCTGCTATTTTCACTTTTTAGTAGTCAAATTGCGGTTTTTATGCAAGTTTCATTTCTGTAATTTGTATCAATTAACATGTAAGGTTGTGCAAATTCGGTGGAATTGTGCTGTGCTTTTTATGTCAAAAATTACCCAATTGTGCAAACTGGCTCATGTTATGGTGTATGCTTATAGGCTCTTTAGATGCTGAGAATTTCAAGGATTTCAAACTTGTAAAGCGTACACAGCTGAGCCACAATGTGGCAAAGTTCAGATTTGAACTTCCAACATCTACTTCAGTTTTAGGTCTTCCAATTGGACAACACATAAGTTGCAGGTACAGTTGATTTAGTTTATTTATTTATTTACTATTTATCATATGGACATCCTTTTCTGAGTCTTTTGGCTGTTGATAATTTGATCAATGATGTTTGACTAACCAAATGGCTGTCAGAAATTCTGATTCAGAAGGGGAATTTTGCATAATTTTTATCTTCCCTTTATCATTGTAGTTATTTATGTGAGCTTCTTTGTCGCATAGGGGCAAGG